TAATCCATCTCCTTACATACTAATGCTTTATCCAAAGTGTCTCTTGAACATCATAATCAAGTCAACTTATCCCAGAAATGCAAAGTTGCATTAACATTAAAAAATAAAACAATGTAGCCCTAGCCCAGTGGCTCAGTTAGTTGAGTGTCCCATACACCAAAAGGCTGAGGGTTTGATTCCCAGTCAGAGTACAAACCTAGGTCAAGGGTTCTATCCCCAGTCGAGGTGTGCACAGGAAGTAACCAATCAATGTTTCTCTCTCTCTCTCTCTCTCTCTCTCTCTCTCTCTCTCTCTCTCTCTCTCTCTCTTCCTCTCTTTATATAAATTAATAGAAATATATCCTCAAGTGAGGATTAAAAATAATTAAAATATAAAAAAATAAAACAATATAATTTATCACATCAACAGAACAAAGGAGGAAAAAGTATATGATCATCTAAATATATACAGGAAAAAAATAATAAATGTCAACACCCTTTTATTCTAAAAACTCTCAGCAAATTAGGAGTAGAAGGGTATATATAATAAACATAGGTTATATTATATTTAATGCTAAAATACTGAATGCTTTTCCTTAAAGATAATAAACCAGGTTTTACCAGTTTTGTGAACAACTGCCCTGCAGTCACAGTAGTATTATATTAATAATAATAATAATAATAATAATAGACATAAAGACTAGAAAAAGAAGAAATAAAACCATCATTATTCTCAGAGGACAGAAGAAAACCATTAAACATTATTTTTAAAAGGAACTACCATAACATTCCCATAAGTTTATCCAGGTGGCAGGACACAGGATAATGGAAAATTCAACAGCACTTCTATATACCAACAATGAACAATTGGAAAGTGAAAGTAATAAACAATACTAAAGCACTAAGTCAACTCAATGAGAAAACTCTTTTTCCATGTAGGGGAAAAAAATGAATCCCAACTCTTACCTTGCAACCTACACAAAAACAATTTGATATAGATCATAAAACTAAATATTAAAGCCAGAACCAGAAAGCATCTAGAAAAAATATGAGAGCACATATTTACAACCTGAACAAAATACAAAATGCACTAACCGTGAAAGAAAAAAATTAATAAACTGGATCTCACCAAAATTAAAATATTCTGTTCATCAAAAGTTATCATTTTAAAAATGTGAGTAAATCATTCTGAGAGGGAAGCTCAGCCTAGTAGGTTAATATACTGGAGGAAAACAAAGAGAAACCAGTAGTATATAAATATTTCAGAATCTATGAGTTGAAAATAGAATGTTTCACAACCTGAAAAATTTTATGACATGAAAGAGTCCAAAGAACCAAAGTAAAAAGGTCAAACATGGGATGTAGAACTAATAGCTGTGACTTAGTGAGTTAGTAAATATGCCATGTCCGGCCAGAGTGACTCAGTGGTCAACCCATGAATAATTGGTTGGCCATGGTTTGATTCCCAGTCAGGGTAGATGGTCAGATAGCAGGCTTGATCCCCAGTAAGGGTAGTGCATGAGGCATCCAGTCAATGATTCTTATCATTGATGTTTATATCTCTCTCTTCCTTCCTCTGTGAAATCAATAAAAAATTAATCAGTATTCCAAATAAAATCAAACAACAAAACATTGCAAGATTTGTGGCTTCTAAGTAATTTACAGTAATTCCAAACATGCAATGTATAATCAGCCCTACCACAAATTGAATACAATGAGTCCTTGTTAACAATGGATATTCTCATGTAGAGATAGAGTTACGGAAAGTAGACTAGATAAAGGCATATAAAAGAGGAGAAGTAACTAAACTTGCTCTATCTAAGTATATATTTGCAGCAAATGCAATGAAAATTGTGTTTTTATCCCTCATCAATTCTATATCATTTTCACAATAAAAATGAACACATGTGCCAATGCCTAGTCAAAGAAATGCAAATTCATGAACACAGGTAGTTTTATAAGTGAAATGATCTTTTTAACCATGTTATTAATTTCTAATTAGTAAAATTTCAAAGTGTTTTAATACCCACAAGTCAATCTAACTTCACATTTCTTGCATTTTCAGACAGAAAGCCAGAATTAGCAAACACTTTAGAGGATTAAACTTGTGATCAAAATATAGGCTCTTATATAATCTAACAACAATTATCTTTTCTTTAGAACAGTTAGATCTCAACCATTCTCCATCCCTCACACACCTGTGACTTGTCAGAACACACCAGGGGGGCCCCAACCCACACTCCCTAGTCTCCAAACCCTTTTCTGAATTCATTTGTCCTACCCTGACACTCCCTCATAATTATTTCCACTAAAATTTTCTATTCCTTGTTCTGTATAGTGAATGAGGAGCCCCAGGATATCAGACATCATGAGGAGAAATAAGCAATCCGCCAAAGTCTCTGCAGTAAAAAGAAAATAGATGTTATATTCTTTCCCAATTACACACCTTAGCTGTCTTGTTCTATTACATACATACTTATAGGCTGCATTGGTTCTAAGTCAAATAGCATGATCTTTAGTTTCCTGACTTTCTTACTCCATTTCTTTCTTCCTTAAATCATCCCTATGACAGCTAAGAAAGGAAGCTGGAGTGAGTTAGCTTCATAGGCATTTACTAGCAATGATGAACCAAGGAATAGAGTTGAGTTGGAATTTCTGGCTTGAACACTACCTCTCATTTTCTCCAAAGTTTGCCAAAATAAAAACACAGCTAAAATACAATAGAATATGTAAGGAAGGATTTATGGGTTAAGTTTCCTTAGGGTTGCATAGACTTCAGATATGTAGAAAGAAATCTGTTTTTCATTCATTGAATGACCACATGCATTTACATTAGAGAATTTACATTGGTATAAAAGCAAATATATTTATTAATGGATCTATTAACTTACATGTAGGACAATCTCCTACCTCAGGAATTTTTTAAATGTTGGGAATGTATGGCTTCACTGTAACACCAGAAACATCTTCATGAGAGAACCGGTGATAGTTAATGTGGCATTTAGCATCTAAATAGGGGTTAATGAGGTTACTTCTTGAAGCAAATGAACTAGATGACATTTCCCTGAAGAGGAAGAAAGGGGTTTTGAAGACATTTTTCTCCTCTGCATATTGGGACTCTGTGTAAAATATGACTGCCCCCAAACCTGTAAGTTCCTCATAAAAATGTCATATCGTACAACCTCATAAGAATTTTCTAACCTCTGAACAGGACCCGAAGAGACAACTATTATATGAAAGAAAGGTAAAGAACTGCAAATTAGTTGCACAGCTTAGCCCCTTTGGAGTGCTTACCCAAAAACACCAGAATATCCATTCTCTTGGAATTAATGAAGGTTAAAGGAAACAATTTATATGAAAGTGTCAAAAAAAGAAAAAGTAAGAAAAAAAGACAATGTTTTATACAATGAGGTGGACATATAAGGTTTAAATGCCATTTTAAGAAAATTTTAGCCTTTGCGACAGTATGGATGACCTAGAGAACATTATGTGAAGTAAAATAAGCCAGTCAGAGAAAGACAAGTACCATATGGTTTCACTTACCTGTGGAATTTAACGAACAAATTGAACTACCAAGGAAAATAGAGATAGACTCATAGGTAGAGAGCAGGCAGACAGCTCAAGGATGGGATTGTGAGGAAGGGGGAATGAGCAAAAAATAAAAATAAAAGAGAGAGAACTCATGAACATGGACACCAGTGTGGTGATTGTGGGGGTGGAAGAGGATAAGTGGAAGTGGTAAAGGGCATAGAGGAATAAAAGGTGATGAGGAAAATAAAATTTTGGGGATGTGCAGGAGGCAGCTGATTGATGTTTCTCTTTCATCGATGTTTCTAGCTCTCTGTCCCTCTCTGTTCCTCTCTGAAAAATCAATAAAATATATATTTTTTAAAAATTTTACAAAGGAAATTAATGAACTAAACTGCACATAAGTGTGGGTGAATATTCATAACATAATATTGAGAGTAAAATGCTAATTCTAGGTAAATAAATAAATTCCATTTTATTAATGAGGATGATGATTATAATAAGAATCATCCTAAACAAATTATATGAAAGAAGGTAAGATATTAAGGAAATCATGGCTCATTCACAGCAAAATGGTCTTCAAAGGCACATCTGTCTTACAAATTAGCTCAAAGGACTTGTTCATACTATTTACTTAAGTAGATGGTGAATGGCATTGATTGGATCCACAGTCCCCCTCTGTTGGATTTTATGAGGCCCATTCAGAACGAGCCAGGTTGAGAACAAGACCAAGTCCACGTTCTGAGTTCTTCTGTTGGCAAAAATATAATGCTAACAGCTTTATAAGTGCTATTTTCAATGAAATATCACAGAACAGCTTGTCCCAGTGATATTTCTAAAGCTTGCCTGCAAACCGCCTACTGGGAAACCCAACTGAAAGAGAAGAAAGAGAGAAGCAAAAGAAAGCCACATAGACAAATGACAGGCTGAGGGAAAAGAACAAAGGGTAAAGAGAAACCAGCCAGGTGGAAGAGAGCACTGAAGGGAAGTAAGGAGCAATGAGATGCACAATATCAAACACAGGCAAAATTAAAGACCATAAGGAATAGAGAATGTTAAGAAAATATATAGAAACATCTGGGGCTGGCGGATAGGGAAGTGATTGCAAGTAATGCAGCATGTTCAGAGAAATGAAGACAAAATGAGAGGGAGACACCCAAGAGAAAAAAAAAGTAACAACTTAATAATTGGACTATAATTATTAAAATGCTATGAAAGGAAGATGATGTGAAATAATAGCATGTTTCCTAAGCTTCATTTGTTGTTGTTGTTTTCTATAATATACAAATTCTTTTTTCTAAAAGCTGATATAGATTTCAGTGTCTACCATAAATGCCAAGGGGAGAAAACATTCCATTCCAAGTCCCTTCTTTTAATCTAAAAATCAATGTATATATCATAACACAGGCCAGGCATTGCAATGTCAGTTTTGCATGCACAGATTCAGAAACAACATACATTATGGTGCAGATAATGTCATTCTGGGCACTTACCTGGGGTCGAATAACTTTTACAATGTTTTTGAGGGCAGTGTCGGGGGATGGAGGTGAGCAGTCAGGTGTTGGGCCTGTAGAGCTGTTTCTATGGTTACTAGTTCCTGGAGCAGTAATTGCTACCTCAGAGGCATTATCTGTGAATAAAAATAGAACTGCCATGAACCTAATCACTCAGTTTACCTTTTGAGACTGCAAATTAGTTTAATGAACAGGAATTGGGATTTCAACTTAAAACTATCAATTACAAGATCATACTGAGGAATATGCTCAGCAGCATGTTTTAAAGATAATGTTTATTGAATGTGTTGTTCTCTTTTAGAGTAATATCACCCCCTGAGGTATTATCCCAAGAAAGAAGAGTATTATTATTCAGTAAATAATGATAGATTACCCGGCATAGCTGTGAAGACTGCCACGATGATATGAATGACTAAAACTGTACCTTAACTTTAAAAAAAATGATCTTTTTAATATATGATGTGCCTACGTTTTCTTCATAATATTTCAAATGGGTATTGATCTTTATTAAAGTCCATGTTTCATAGCTCCAATTCATAAAACCCCAATTCAAACCTCCCCAAAACATTTCTCTCAGAAATCCTTCAAGCTATAGAAAAATACCCCAGTGAGTTAACCTAGATGAGAAACTGACATTTGTACAAAGCAGTTGTATAATAAAAACTATTCCCCCTCAGATAAATATATCCTCCTATATGGTCAAAACTAAATGAATGAGATTTCAAAAATCTAAATAAGTCTTCCCTTATGGTAACTGTTTGGGGGGGTGGGGTGGAAGGATAAAGAAAGTAATGTCTTCAAAATCAGCAGCACATGAAACATTTTCTTCTTAAGTTTATACAAAAACAAAATAACATCAAAGATGCCATTTGGAATGTTTAAAATACTTGGGAAAGGATGACAAATGTTTTATAAATAACTTCTGCTAGCACAAAGAGAAGTTATATTATTTTAACAACAATTTGGCAATTCTCTATGGCTTTTTATGGAAATGATTGCAAGTTCAAATTTGAAAAAATAAAAAAAAACTTCCCTGTTACAATTTTAATTAGTTTCCAATAATGTTCTGTCCTAGACAGCTCACTGAATTGATGCAAAGGAGACTGAGACTGTGAATTGTTTATAGACCAGCAAATCTCTCTGTTCCACAGCTACTGTCTACAATCCCAACTGAAAAGCAATAATTTATGAGGGCATCTCTTGCTCATAAGTGAGGATATAAAAACTCTACCCCCACATAAAAGTATAATTCAGTCTTCTGGTGAATCTAGACATAGGTTTATGAAAAATACAAGTGTGGCACATTGAATTAAACAGATCCATCACTAAATATGCCTTTAAAATGTCCAGAGCTCTCTCTTGACTTCAGTTTAATGGATCAGGTGGGAATTAGCATCTCAAGAACAGGCAGGTTTGTGTGAGTGGTCTTCTGAGTAGAACAGAATAGTATGAGTCAATATTGAAAGAGACAAAACATCCATCAGCAAGAGGATGACAAAGATGCCCTGCTTTTCTCCAATGTGTCCTTCCTTCTTTCATTCATTCAACCATACATCCAAAAATATTTATTTGGGGGCAAGAATGTCAGTTATTATGTTCCTTCTAAGGATAAATCTCTAGTCAGGGGTAGTGGATAGGGAGGGATAAACAGGTGGAGCAGAGAGGATTTTTAGGACAGTAAAACTGCTCTCTATGATTCTATATTGGTGGGTGCCTAACATTTTAATTTGTCTAAAACCCAGTAGACTATACAACACGAAGAGTGAACCCTAATGTAAACTATGGATTTTTGTGACAATGATGTTTCCATGTAGAGTAGCAAATGTACCCCCTCTCTGGTAGGGGGTGTTTATGGGTGGGGGAGGCTGTGTCCATGTAGAGGCAGAGTGTAAATGAGAGCTCTGTATTTCTACTAAATTTTGCTATGAACCTAAAACTGCTCTAAAAATAATGTCTTAAAATATTATTTAAGAAATCTCTGCCCTTGCCTTAGCAGGTTTGGATCAGTGGGTAGAACATTGGCCTGCAGACTGAAGGTTCCAAGGTTTGACCTCGGTTATAGGCTCCTCCCTACCCTGGGCCCTGCTTGGGGCTCATGCAGCAGGCAACCAATCGATGTGTTTCTCTCACATGGATATTTCTCTCTGTCTTTCCCTCTCTCTTCCACTCTCTAAAAATAAATGGAAAAAATATTCTTGGGTAAGGATTTAAAAATATATATCTATGCCCTTGACAAGTACGTATACAGTCACATGTGGCCTCAGAGATGCAATTTATAATGCTATATAACTTGAGAATTGATAACAGATCAATGAAGCATGATGAAAAAGCAGGGAAGGACTGTGGCTGGAGAGGAAGGTGGTGTTAAATTCTTCAGTTTTCAGGCAAGAAAGCTGGAGTAGAACATAAATCATAACAGCATAAATGAGCATACGTGAGCTATTTTATGTTAGGAAGAAGTCGGAGATGAGTTTAAATGAGTTAGAGGAAGTTTTTTAGTATAAAAGTTTACACTTAATTCTATAGGCAATAAGAAATATTGAAGATATTTAAGCAGGGAGTGAGTGCCCTACAAGTAATAATAGGTAAAGTTCATTGGACTGCAATGAAATGATGTTACAGTTTATTTTCCTTATCATTCTCTCTTTTGTACTTTTCATTGTTGTATCTCTGTATTGTATTCTGAATAGTTTCTTTTTTATTAAATTTATTGGGGTGACATTGGTTCCCAAAGCCATACAGGTTTCAATAGTACAAAACAACAAAACATCACCTGCCTCGCTTCTTACATTTATTTTCCAGTTTATTGGTTCTTTCTTCAGCTCTGTCTAGTCTGCTACCAAACCATTTTCTTAATTTCAATTCTATTTTTCAATTCTAAAATTTCTAATTGTTTATTGTTTCTACTTGTAAATATATTGTTTATTTTATATATATATTATAATATATATAATATATATAATAATATATATAACATATATATTATTATATATATTATAATAACAATAATATATATATTGTTATATATTATTTCTACTTGTAAATATATTGTCACCATTTGACATTTTTCAATTCCCTAACTTTTTTATGCTTCCCTTTATTTATTAGGAAATGCCAAAGACATTTGTTTTTCCTGAGTTTTTTTTTAGCATCTGAGTTCAATAATTCCAATATCTGAATTCTCCATAGACCTGTTTCTCTATACACTGTCCTATTATCTATCTCATCTTTAATTCTTTATTATGTGTCACTCAACTTTTTGATAGAATAAGATATCCAACATTAAATATAATGCTTTTGTATTTTAGTAAATGTTAATTCAAAGAAGCATCCCAATATACATTCTAATACCATATGCTGAAGTATATAGAAAACTTACCTGTTCAATTTTAGATAATTTATTTAACCTCTCAGGATGTCAGTTTCCTGAACTTTAAAAATGAAAATGATTAATAAGTATCTTCTTGGGTTTATGTGTGCATATAAAATGAGAGAACGCCCATGAAAAATAAGTAGCATGTTATGAGGTTTAATAATTTTGAGTATTATATAGGTTTAATAAATTTGAGTTTTATTTTCCCCTATCAAACCAAATATCATCAGAATTAAAATAAAATATATAAGTGGAAAGAAAATCCAGAGGGAGAAGCAAGAAAATTACTAATTTGTTTTAGATAATACTAGTACATCCAGAGTAACGACTATGAGTAATTGGGTAGGATTTGAGGCCAGTACCTTTAAGCTATTAATACAAATTGGTAGGAACAGAATTGAATTCCAGGAATAAGGGATGATCCATTGGGGAATGATTTACTGCAAGGACTGGCCCTGCTGACTGCCTTTGGATCAAAGACAGAAAAACTGCTGGGCACTCTAGGCAGACTATAAAGCAAAAGCTTATGAATGTTTCTTACAAGTAATTTAACACACAGCACAAGACAGTGGGTAATGAAGTACTAAATTCTGTAGAAAAGACTATAAGTGTCTCTATCTCCTGAATCCATGATTTCTGCCATTATACCGATAATTTGATTTTATACTACCATGCACTATTCATTATCTCTTTTAGTCCCGACTATATTATCTCAGAGACTTATATTTTCATTATACCCTCCATAGCTCTTAGCTCAATGCAATCCTTTAAAAGTACTAAGTGAAATAAATCAAATGAAGAAACACTTGTGTGTCATTGGCAACCATCACAATGCTCACGGTGGCATGAGGAAAGGTGATCTGGCTTTTATAATTCCATGGTCCTTTTAGAGAAAATTCAAATGAAAAGCACAGAACACACATAAGAGTGTTAGGAAACAGATTTATGCTTTTAAATAGCCTTTATTATACCACTTATAAAAAATACCAAGGATCCAGTGGACTCTATAAAATGGCAGCCTATGTCAAAGATATGCACCATCAACCCCCATCTCACACCTGCAGCTACAAAACATTGCTGATGAAAATGAAATTAGGTGTATAAAAACTGCTTAGAGAAAATTACTGAATATACTTCAATCTTAGACTGAAATAAGAAAGATCTTCTATTCAGATTCCCTTACTATGCATTAGGTTATGCAATATGATTGTCAGTGTCCTCTACAATAATAAGCTTTAGCAGGAACTTTCTGGTTTACTTGAGCTTTTAGAGGAAAGCATTCTGTGAATACAAAATAACGCATGGCAGTGTTATAGAATTTTAACATCATTCTTTAGTATGTGCAGACCAGTTAAAGGGCACCGGAGACCTTGTTAGCGGCTGTGTAGCTGACAAATAGGACTGAGATTGCTTCCAGCTGGAGCTTCAGGAAAGGTGTCATGGAACAGGTGGTGATAAAAGAGGTCTCTGGCAGATTAGTACAATTTAGATATAAACAAATGGGCAGTAAGGTGGGAAGTGGGATGAGAAAAAAAGCAGAGGAATTGGAAAGAGCTATGCATATTGGTAGAATAAGAGAGAGTTCATTTTGAATAAATAATATTCATGGAAAGGAATACTAAGAAATGGAGGAGCCATATAGTATAAATTTGGGCTTTGGAACCGGACAACCCTACGCTGCAATCCTGGCCTATTTAATCTCAGTTTCCTATGAAAAAGTGTTTTCTCATAGTTTTGTAAGGA